GTGTCATCTGTCCAAAGAACGTTGGTTGTGGTTTGTTCAGATGGAACTTTGCAAACCTAAACTGTGCAGCAAACTATGCTTATTCACCCTATTTCTAATTGTACCTTAACATTTAACATGCTAACTGAGGTCTGTAGAGTCTGAGATGTAGGTGAGTTTTTGTTTATTTTTTTCTGACCTTGGGTTGAATTTGCTGGGTTGTCCAATCCTGGGAAGATTGTTGTTAACAAACAGCTGAATACTCCAAATCTACAAAGTGCCGGAGCTTCTGCTTTTATAGTGGTGGTCACACTTGTTTATGATTATTAATCAAGTGCACTCGTTTGGCTGCAAATTCCCCGTGATTCAGCACAGTTCTACTTAGTTTTTCACAGAGTACAAGATCCTGGGAAAACGTTTTCTGGTTCATGACCGCATATGAAGCAGTAGGTGTTAAAGGGTTGAACATAATTAAAAAAAATTTCCATACACTTCAATGGGCTTTATATGATTGTTTGGAGTTTCATTACATTAATACCATGTTTTTAATTAGGTTCTCAAAAAAAGTTGTGAACTGGAAGCAAAATTTGAATCTTTCTAGTGCACAAATAAATCCCAACTAAAAATAAATAATGAATAAAACAGTCCAACAGTTTTAAATCAAGTAAAATCTACATCTCGTTTCTTCATATTTTGCTACAAATATGGCAAATAGGTGTAAATACAGAAAAAAAGTCAAACAGAGTTTAAATCATTCTAACCGGTTTTAAAGTCAGTATTTGGTATGACCATCTTTATTCTACAAGCCTGAACTCTCGTAGGCAAGCTTTCTTGTCATTTCTTGAATTAACAAAAAGTTGATTGTGTTCATCTGGATATAGCGTTTTCAGCGGGAGAAACATTTCATCACTCATCCAAGTGACTTCTTCTGCACGCTACGTCCATGAACAGAGTTGACGTTTTTTAGATTTCTTACCTGGTTGGTTGAGCCTGCATCAAGACATGTCTTCATTCAAGATAATTTTTCTATGTTTCTTGAGGGACGATCAAAGCTCTTCTTTAGATGTTGGCTGCCTTTTGTTCTGCCCTCTATCAGGAGAATCCCACACTGCTTCAGACTCTGGGGAGGCCAATCCATGACTGATGGTGTTGTATTGTATTGTTTTGCCAATAAGACAGTTTCCAGATGGTTTTGTATGGTGGATCAAAACCTGATGATACTTTTCTGCTTTACTATCATGTGTTCATAATTCCCAAGACCCCAGCACCACCGGCTGAACGGCAGCTCTAAACCATGTCAGAGCCTCCATACCTACTCCACACGCTCACAATGATTTCTACCAAAAATATCACAACTGGATTGTCACTCCTAAACACCTGTTGTTGCCGATTTTAGTTTCCTCAAATGTTTTTACCCGTCAGCTATAAAGTGCTGATGAGATATTGTCAGCAGCCTGCTGGGCGGGCAGGCAACATGGACACCCAAGATTGTGAATGTGATAACTCAAGAATGAAGCAATGTAGGACTTTCTAATTGATAATAGACTTAAAA